ATATGCGCAACTGCTTACACAAACACATACACAAAATAATATAGCAATTAATGCTAATTACTAATAAATAGTTATAGATTACAGTTAACAATGAGTGATAGCGACAGTGAAAGCGAAACTGTTCAGAGACGACGACCGTCTAATCCTGACTTAATTAGTACTGAATCGTCAAGCAATGATAGTAATAGTACAGAAGTCTACGATATGGATCAGTCAAATCAAACCAATCCACAAAGCGGGCCTTCTGGCCAACAAATCGATCAAGCTGGTCGCGTCATTGACACAATAACTATCCACGAAGACGACAGTATCACAGAGTACGTTCCGATAATACCTGTACCACGTCCGCCTTGTTATAACAAGAAATATCTTCCGGCATATTGGGACCAAATGATTGACCTGAATACTGACGTTGATAACGATGATTCCGATCCTGAAACCGAAGAGGTGATTACTCTTAATCAAAATACTGGACCACTCGCTGATACCATTGATGGCCTTAGACTTCAATATTCAAATGTAATCCGTAGAAATTTCTATGAAAATCGTCCCTACGCGAATGACTGTTATTGGGATCATTACGCTGAGGATGATAAAATCAAAGCTCTTCGAAAGTTGGAACGTTACCGTTGTTATATATGTTCAACACTATCTCTCGAAATTCCGGTAATGTGTCTTTTATGTCAACTATATTATTGTCAAAATTGCATAATACATTCTATGGAAACCGGAGTTACTTGTTTCGGTAATTCTATAAATGGAATAAGAGGTCCTCACGCACCTAGTACAATCGGGATGCGATTGACCGACAGAGCGTACTTTATCAAACATTTAAGATTAAGATGCTTGTTTGGATGTTTTGACATGCATGGAAACCGTCAAGAGGACAAGATATTTCCATATATCGCAGCAATAAAGCACAATGGTTCTGAATGTCCACGGCGGCAATGCAATACCTGCCATTTGTTCAGAGATAACAAAGAGCCTCACTTACCTGATGAGTGCTTCGATAAATTGAACCAATTTGCTGAGTTTGCTGTCCGCGAAACTAATCGAGACCACGAAAGAGATGGCACGAACAATCGCTGTGTACAAACTACGCTTGAATCACAGATCGCCAGATTAGAAGCACAAATTGAGACTCAGAAAACTGAAAATAAACGCTTGCAGAATCAATTGCGTGATCAAAACAGACGACACGATCAGAGAGTGGCCAAGAAAAACAGTCTTCTATCCAAATTTCAAAGACAAGTACAACAACAAGAGTCCCGTAGTTTACGTGAACATAACTACAGACAGATAGAGCAGACCATCAGAGCGAACGATGCGATTCATAACATACGACAACCGATGATAAGTCCATTTGTAACAGTTGGTAACCAAGAGTCGATTCAAATACCTGGTCTCTTACCGCCGCGCGTCACACCCGTTGCTGAGACTACACCATTAGCTACAGTTGTAAACAATTCCTTTGTGATCAGTCCTACTGATCTAAAAATGGACGGAGGCGGAGGTAAAACTGAAATAAATCTATACTATCCAGACCACGGACTCAAAACGCTTACACCTGTTGATAACCAACAAACATGGAAAGAGTTATGGTCAACAAGTATTCCCCAAGCTTTCCCTGGAGTTAGTCCACTAACTCACGACATCGCTGACATACGGCTTACAATCAGAAACGAGAACGAGATCAACGAAAGAGTTACTCAAAGAGTTAAAGGTGTTCGTTATTTAACGCTTATACCTAAGAATACATTGACTTCACAGACAGCATATAAGTTTCGCACAGTATCGTTGAAGCCAATCAAGCGCCAGATAACTATCACAGCGTTATCAGACAATCCAGTGGCCACTCAACCACCAGATAGCGATTGTCGACAAAGCCGCACGGACAGCGAAACACAGACGACTTCGCGTTCGACTCCACAGAGAAGTGTTTCAACATCGCGAGAAACATCTGGTCATCGCGAGTCTAGACGAGCCGACCGACGCAGACATCACCGTGGGAAGCGTCACTCAAAAGAAGATCACCGCAACAGTGATCGCAAATAAGTTTAAACTTCAATTAAAATTAATGCTTATAATTGTATTGCTTATATTTTTAATAATTGATATTACTTTTATTGATTGCTATTGCTTTTTATTGATAATTGCTTATATTGTTTTTACGCTTAATATACTTAATATATGCTTATTATATTGATTATCTTATTATTAATTATAACAATTTTATTAAGAATTTTAAAAATTATTGTTAAGAATTTTTAACTAAAGCAGAGGGAGATTTGTAGAGTCCAATGTCCATTGACTAGAATATGTTTTTATATGTAAATGAATTGTTGACTAGAAGTTTGTATCAACACAATGTGTTCACTAATAATTGTTTAGTTTATCACATCCTTTGCTTTATCACATGAATTGCTATCACATTATGTAATCACAGATATATTGCTATCACAGAGTTATCACAGATATGTATTGATTGAGTAGTCATTCATGTGTTGGTCGCCAGCGATAACGCTTGGCTTGACTAGTGTTCTATCACTATGTGTTAATTATAATGTATTTGTATGACTAGTAATATATCACAGTTTGTAATGCTTTTGATTAACTAATAAAAACTTATAAAATATTAAATAAGTATTGAGTGATTGGTGTGCCGTGACCTGACCTGACCAGACCCGAACCTCGGAAGGCACCCGGCCTCCTACAATATTAAAAATATTTTGAATATTTTCTGTGTGTAAATTAGAGTAAAAACTAATGAATTTTTGCGTAAAACATTACATTCTCAAAACTTTATTTTCAAGACGATATTGTGTTAACAACACAATGTGTTAATAAATAAATAAATAATAAATAAATGTACAACAATCATTAGTTTAGTTTTATTATCACATGATAAGTAATCCCCAATATAATGCACCTAAATCTTATTATATTGTACAATATAACGTATATTTTACACTATTTCAGATTTCACACTTAACTAAACCTTACATTCACTAACAAAGTTATGGTATTTGTAGTTTATCGTCTAATTTACAGGCGCTTAAAGTAACGTTCTAATACTGAAATCCTTGAAAATGCCGAAACTTGCATAGAGTAATGACTCAAGTCAATAAAATTAGTATTGACACATAGTCATTACTCTATGCAAGTTTCGGCATTTTCAAGGATTTCAGTATTAGAACGTTACTTTAAGCGCCTGTAGTCTAATTAATCAGTCAATTATTTATTATATAGATGTGATTATTGGTTGTTACGGTAATGTATAGCAATTATCGTGTAGCTGTTTTGTAGCATTTATAGTATGTTGTAATAAAATAATTAAAAAAATTTACCAAAATGTCTGACTTATTAAATAAGTTTGAAATTGTGGCTAAATTTCCCTGTAATTTACGACAAGAAATTAAATTATTTCATGCATTTTTCATCTACCATAAGGAGAAAAACATATTATTTGTGACAAATAGTGATCGTGTTTATAGTGTGGGCACAAATTATTACGGTATGTTGGGTTTGGGACACAACCGGCCCATCGATGCGCCCGAAGAAGTGCTAGAATTAAGTCATTGCAAAATACAACACTTTTATATTGGATCTCGTTTTGTGTTAGCCATGAATAACAATTACCATATTTATATCTGGGGTCTACACAAGTCTAACACTGGAGATACTTATTATAAACCACGCAAACTATTATTATTTGATTCACTTGATATACATATTGAGAAAATATTATGCGTAAGTGTAATAACCATTGTCTTAACATCTGATGGACGGTTATATCATTGGGAATATAATTCAATGGAAACCCAAAACCCAATTGAAATACAATTTCCCATTGATTACAAAATTGTAGACATTATGTGTAGTGAAGTAATGTCTTTTGCCATTACATCCAATGGCGAAGTGTTTATGTGGGAAAAATTGGGACTCAATGAGACATTAATTACACCTAAATTATTGCAAAATGTTTATAATATAAGAATCGCATTTATGGTATTTACAATTGATTCAATATTAATCATGTTATCACATGATAACCATGTTTATAATTATTATTTTAATGACGATAAATTTATCGTCAAAAGCAATTTATTGTTTGACGATCTAGTTCAAAGTAATTGCATGACTGTAGGAAAACGTGGCGGAAAAGTGTTAAAATATGACAATGAGTTTATTGAAACACAATTTACAACATTTGATGATTATTTCGCTAACGCCATTCAAATCACTTATAGAACCGTTGATATTAGTAAGAATAAAAATTGCGTTCAAACGACACATACATCACTTCAAGCTAATCATGGTAAATTTTGTTTTAATATTAATATATTCATAATTTTTTTACAATTCATAGCTATAAAAATTAATATTTAAACTCAGAAGATATTTAAGTAGAAATTTATGAGCATGTACAAAACTTTTTAATTTGATTCATAATGCATTAAAATACATAAGTCAATTCGCTTTTTTACGTACGTATTTCTATAAGAAACCAATCGTGACGTAAATAACATAGCAATTTATGACATATCGAAAGAGTTGGGATCCGGTGGTTTCGGAACAGTGTTTAAAGTTAAGACCAAAAATAATGGAGAGAAATATGCGATTAAAAAGTGCTCATTAAGTGGTAATACAATATAATTCAAATAATTATTGCAATATATACAAAATTAAATAAGAAAATTTATATTAAGGTTTAACAGAAAAACAAAAGCAAGATGTTTTGAACGAAACAAAAAACTTGATAAAATTGCGCTCAACCTATATCATTCAATACTACTTTTCATGGATTCAATGGAATTGTGTATATATTCTTATGGAGTGTTTGTCCGGAAATTTAACACAAATTTTGCGAAACAAGAAAATGTTATTCGGAAAAATAATGACTGATTTTGAATATTATATATCATATGAATTATTTGACCAATTGGTCAAAAGTATGGAGTATTTGCATAAAAATCATATCATTCACAGAGACCTCAAACCCGATAATGTATTAATTGATGACAATTATTACTCTATTGGAGGTTCGCATCGATTTATAAAGTTATGTGACTTCGGTTTGTCTAAAGAAGTGAATGCATTGAGCGATCGATACAAACAAAGTAGAGTTGAAAATACTCCCGATTTCAAAGACAATGTTAATTATATGGCACTCGAAGGACAGACCACTGAATACAACCATTTAATAGATGTCTATAGTCTGGCACTCATTGGAGCGAAAATTTTTGGTTTTGATTCCGACGATATCAGAGACGGAGTGTATGTTATTATAAAATTTATAATATTTAATATATTAAAATTTTTATTTGATATAAACATTTGTCGAGATAAATATTGAAAATTATTTAAAATAATTGATTTGTTTTATATATTTTTAGATTGGACTTTAATTCAGAAATTAAAGACAATTTTAATCTTGAGAATAAATTATCAGAAATATACCGATTATTGCTATCAATGAGTGTTAGTATATATACAGAAAGTTATGGAAATACTGATTGGAGACTAAGACCCGAATGCGAAATAATTTTACATAAATTAACACATTTATCAATTAAGCCACTAATCGAGAAAGATGATATATTATTTCATAGCGCACTTGATAATAAATTTGAACTATTTTTGAAATATTTTTATGAATGCCATAAGATTTGTGCGATTGGTCAATCAACAGATAAACATAATGGTAAATAATTTTTGGCTACATTTTAATCAGTAGTTAAATGTTTTACAATTAATGTAAAGTTTATAAATATTATAGAAATTGCCTTAACTGTTAATTCATACGGAGATCAGCTTGATGGTGATCATAATGAAATTGATTTTAAAACATTTATTAAAGTGGAAAATATTACAAACAACAAGTTATATTACATAAGCAAATCTAAACAATTATGTAAGTATTACAATATAAATGTAAATAATATTACATTATTACTATAAACAGGAATTATCATAGTAATAAATGATACAATCACAATAAACATAATATAATAAATATTTTAAATAATTTTTATCTACGTACAATAGGTTTCAAAGAAATGAATGATATTGTTGTGAAAATAAAGCAAATATTTTTACTCAAACCTCAATATTTGTTACCAATGCATAACTCTTGGATAGAAAACAACAATATATACATTCAAATGGAATATTGTTCGCAAACTCTATGGGATGTCATAAATGCAAAACACGTGATATTTGGGACACAAACCCATCACTCGTTGGCAATGATTTCAATTGATTTTTTGATTTCACAACAATTGTTGCGACAGTTATTGCACTGCTTTCGAGAATTAATTGCCCTGGATATAAATATTGAAAACATTTCACTTGACACAAAATCTCTATTCATAATGAATGCTAATATAATGGATGAAAATTTTATGAAACTATATTTGTATGAATATAATAATAATCTAAGTTATGACGAAATGTTTTCAAAATTTGAAAACAACGAAATATATGATATTGGAAAAATTGTTGAAAGTTTGTTTGCCATACAATTAACTTACATTAAGTATTAATATTAAACATATTTATTATTAAACATTAAATATATATTAATTAAATTCCATAGAAATTCTCACAAAAACATTGATTACAAGTCATATATTTTGGATAATTTTGGAGTAAATGTCGATGAAATTGAAGAGTTTACTAACGAATTACTCAATACATCAGAAGAGAACACAACAGATATTTTTGATATAACCGATGATTTCAATTATACTTTTGAAGAAACCCTAAACAAAATAAACGCTACTATAATCTCACGGATGAAAAGTGCAATTCTGTGGCGAATCCCTATATTTAAACGGAAATCAATTGACTTTAAACTAGTTTATAATTATATCAATGAACAATCTAAACAATATCTCGTTAAAAATAAAACTATGAATATTATTTTATAACTTCTTAATATTATTGATGATTAGTTTTTTATATTATAAATTTATTATTGTATTTATTAGTAATTAATTTAATATATGTTATTATTTATTTATTTTAAAAGTATGTTTTCATATTATAATTATTATTATCAATAGAAATTAAAACACGTTTTTTTCCAATTATAATAATTTAAAGCTACTAATTTAAATTAACTATATTTATTAATTAATCGTACAGTATTCACATTTTAAATTTTTTAAATTAAGAAAATGTTTGACTAATTAAATAAAACTTTATTTCTTGTTTATAATATTATAATATAATTTTGTTGTGAATATAATGTTTATAAAAATGGTTTTTGCATTATTGCATTGGTATAATTACAATATATAAAACCCTTAGCGTGAGTTATTCCAATATTTATAAATCAATAACTAATTCTCATATTATTAAAAAACATTGTGATAATTATTACAGTTGTTATTCACGTAAATTTTAAGATGTAAACAATATAGAAATTAATGGCACATGGTATTTGAATAATGTGTTTAAATGATTAATCGGCTAATTCTCAACTTTTATTTGAAATGCTTAATTAATTATAAATTAATTTTTAAAAATTATTTACAATATATAAAAATTGTCTTTTTATCATTAGTTTAACGGACTTCTCTGTTTTGAAATTAGGTAAAAATACACTAATAATAAATTTATTCTGCCTACCATTTTTAACCACTATTCTGATAGGAATAATGTGGTTT